GCATAAATGTGGGAAAACAATTTATACATAATTAGGTCTAAACGTTTTCTACGCCAAACCTCGTGCGAGGTGCGCTACTAACCATTATCTGGGAAAAATGTGACTTCCGCGATTGTAGAAGTCAGTTTGTAGCCGCATTAATTATCGATTTATTTTAAGCTAGAAAATTCTCATCGAAGGACGAAAGATTAGCTTCACAGTATCCCATTCAAATTTGCAACGGCTGTATTTGAAGAAATTGTGCATCTCAATCATAGAGTATTAGATCCTTATGGAAATATTTGGATTAGCCACAAGGAGTCTATTCACTTGATATGTGTATTCATCGTAATAAACAGCAAAAAAGCAATCATTTTTTAGAAAGGATGAAATTCCTCGCTGCTTTGCATACAATATTTCCCATTTATGAGCTGTAGTTGTCGAACTGCGAAAACAATTTTGTTGCTACAATCAAGGTCAAGCAAATTTAAAACAAAAAATATCGAAGTGGGAGACAGAGTTTGGTATCAATCTTCATCCATATGGTTATCGATAAGCACATATAATTTTGGAAATTGAAATTGATCTCCAAAACGAGAGTCATGCTGCACGAGTTAGATGAACACTTGTGTGAGGCTCCAGTGGTATAATCGAGTATAGCCAGCATGGTGTAGTGTTGTATTTTTTAATGCAGAATTTTCATGAAGCCAGATGGACGCACAGTTGTCTTAACCATGAACTTAGAATTTATCTTCAATGAGTATGATGACCAAAAACGTTTTTAGTAACGCACTGAGCTATCAGAGTTGCTACGGGGATGATCATATTCCCTACTCACTCCGGAGCTAAATTACTCCGTCATTCTAAGACACTTGATGTCTGATCTCAGGATGCTTTTGTTAGGTGAATCGGTTCGCGCGAAGCTGTACGCGAAGGTTTGTTTTTCTACTTAGAAGTTTTTAAAATTTACAACAGACCGCTGTTAGCTGCAGTTAGGTTCCCTTCATCCCGTTCAACACATATACACACACACGCACACACACAGGGTACCCCGACTCATGTCAACGGGTGTTTTCATGTTTTTGCAATTATGCACAATGTCAGCACCGTGGGAGACATGTTGACCATTCGTCACTGAAGTTCAACCGTCTGGTGCGTTCAAACCCATGGTAAACCGACTGTGATGTGTGTGCGCGTACACGTGTCTGTTTGTGCGGCTTCGGGAGACGGAACCCGGTTAGACGGGAATGTTGCACACCAGTTACATAATTGTGCCATGTGTTGGTAATCCCGAGACCCCTTTTCATTTCGAATCAGTTTATCCCAGCTCTTCCGTTTGGGGATGCAACAAGAATTAATGTGATGATGTGAAGCCCGGTTAGATAAACAATCAAGCGTCCACACCTGAGAGAATGAACGATGAGTCTTGACCAGACTCGTTGCGCTTAACCCAATATAGCGCTGAGGAATTTCTGACTGCTGACGATTATGCATGCCCGAACAGTTAGTTGCTCTCTGGTCACACGAAACCAAATGTTCTGGCAATCCCTCGGACACGCCTGATAGATGACTTCGTGTCCGGTACCAGAACCGTGTCTACATACAATAGATACACTGATTAATGGTTTCGACAATCGGTCCTAGCACACACACACAAACACGGAGCAGTAAACCTTGAGTATACATGCAATTATTCTATGGGGGAGGGTNGGGAGGGTGAACCTCATAGTCGAGAATCCGTGATTTAAACCGCAACCCTCTGGAAAGCGCAACGAAACGAATCAAACTGTGTCCCGGTGGAAATTCCCATTGAAGCACGCCGCGTGGGGATTTGGATCCGGGACCATATAGCCTATAAAACGTGAGACCAAAAGTGAATAATCGTTCGTGATTAAGAACTCAGAATCAAGTTGATCATATTTGATAAAAAGCTGATCATTGTCTTGCGGCACAATAAATCACTTACTACGTAAGTAATAAACTATAAAATTCAATCTAATCTATTTTGGCGGATGTGTGTGTGGGTGGGTGGAGGGAGAATCGATCGTTAAAAAGTCAATCTATATTCAATGTTACACGATGGAGATCATCCCAGGGGGGGGGGTCGAACCCCCCCCCCCTTAGAGATAAGGTTTGGGATTCATTTGTCTGCACAATGCTTATGCGTACCAATAAGAGAAGGGGACAGGTGATCAATGCTTGCAATGCTTCGCAGTGGGGATTGTGATCTGTTCGTATTGCATAATGGATCAATTCATGAACGAGATAAAAATGTGTTGATCGTATTGTGGTACCAACATCAGACATGTATATTGATTGCTATGGGTGAATTGTACATATTCCG